CCAAAGTCTTACATAGCCTCGAGCTCACTAGACTCTAATGGAACAATAATAATAATAGACGCAAATACATACTTTATCCAAAATCAAATAGTTGAATGTCACAAGCTCACTGTGCAAGATAGCCCCTGTCGTGAATTAGCTTGAACTGATGTCTCTCACGTAAGACTGTACAGACATACCCATCGATGACCAGCGACTGGCCAAACATGTAGCTGCTCATGGGCGAAGCCAGGAACACAACGGCATCGGCCACCTCTTCGGGCTGGCCCAGGCGATTGGCCGGCACGCGCTCGCGGACAAGGTTGGCGACGAGCGTCTTGAGGTGGTCCGACGACTCGATCAGCGGCGAGGCAATGTAGCCGGGGCAGAGGGCGTTGATGCGGATCTGCTGCGGCGCATACAGCACGCCCTCGGAGCGCGTGAGGCCGAGGATGGCATGGCGACCGGCGACATAGGCGGCGGCGGGCAGCTGTTGTGGTGAGGCTGCAAAGGCATGCACCGAGCAGACGTGAACGATGCTGCCACGGCCATAGCGGCCAGGGCGCGGCTGCTGCCGCAGCATCTGTCGTAATTCGGCCCGATGCCACAACCACACACCCGTCACGTTCTCGTGGAGGTGGGCTTCAAAGGCAGCGGGTGCCGCGTCGGGACTGCCCCCCACTGGCCCACCAAATCCTGCATTGTTGATGGCGAAGTCAAGACGGCCGTAGCGCGCCACGGCTTGCCCAACACCAGCCTCGGCCGTCTCCTCGCTGCTGCATTCGCTCGACACGCTCAGCACGTCCGTCACGCTGTACCTGGCCGCCAGCGTCTGCGTCGTCTCGCGCAGCCCGGCCTCGTCCGTGTCGAACAGCGCAAACTGCCGCACGCCGTGCTCTGCGAGCGAGTATGCGGCACTCTGGCCAAAGCCTGCGAAGCCGCGTCAGTCCCTTCATCCACCACACGAAAGGCGCAGCATTCTTACCAGAGCCCGCCACTGTGATGAGAGCCACTCCCGAGAGCATTGTCGTCAGCTGGGTTTAGTGCCTATGGCCTTGGGCCCCTCCACGACGGATCCTACCCGTTTTTTTTATCTTGAACCTGCATCGTCGATATCGGTGCTTTTTGACTCGGGGCGCGCAAAAACGCGCCGACGGGCTGGGCGTGTGCTTGATTGCGCCACAGAATCTGGACCCTGACGTCGAAGAGGACGGTGGTGGTGTGGTGGTGTGGTGGTGGTGGGAGAGGGATGGGGCGGATGGAGGGGATGGAGGGGGGCAGCGGGAGAGGAAACCGATCAAGACGGATCGATACGGATGGCGGCGGAGAGCCCCGATGCTCGGAACATTGCCTGCAGTGTACTGCTACTGCTACGCCCAAGTAGTGTCGATGTCTATGTGTGTGTGTATGCAGCCCCACGCCTAACATGACGTGCGGCCCCCTCCATTCTGCTCCCTTCCCATGTACAGTACATGTGCCGCAGGCAACTGACCCGATTGGCCGCCTGTCCAGCGCCTCGTGCGGCTGCTGCTGCTGCTGCTACCATATCTTTTACTGTTTGGGCACCTATCTCACGCTGTACATGTTGCCAGTTGCGCATGCAAATGCGCATTCGGTGGTCGGCCCGACAGAACCCTCCTGATGATCGGATGCTGCACCGTACTCAGAACATCGCATCCTCCCCTTTGCATCGCGCATGCATTCGGCAATCGAGAGCTATGGGGCTTGGCTCGCAGAGTCCAGCTTATCCCACCCCCATCAGGTACGTACAATGTAATGTAGCAAGAGGGTAAAGCCAGTCTTCACATATCGCCTGGTGGTGTCAAGACATTCACGCCATACCACCGGCTCACAAAACACCAATTGCCTATCTACCCAACCCTACAACGCATATCCCACCTGTTTCCACTGATAAGCCACCAGCTCAGTGTACCCAAGCATCGCGATCCACTGGCGTTTGCAGTCAACGCTGCATGTCGATTGCCATCACATGCGTCCCTCGGCTTCGACGTGGCATGGAACGTGATCCCCAATCTCGCCATCCCCAATGTCGCTGCAGCTTGACTCGTGAGAGGAAAAAAAGCAAGCCGATGTCAACTAGTTGCAAAGTTTCCCTTCGTTCTCTCGATCCTGTGTCCCCTGTTTTTTTTTTCTCGCCACGGAAACACTTGCATAGGGTTTCTCTTGCATGTATACACCGTTCCAATGGAGCACTGCAACGTAATAGCCAGCATGCCAGCTGTAGTCCGTAGGGCGTCCAACGGGACGTAGTACGGGGGGACTACGGGCCGTCTTACGCTGAGGTAAGCGGGCCGTCTTACAGCCAGTGGCCGCAGTGACGTAGCCGTGCTTTTGATCGTGAGAACAACTGGACCGTGGCAACGACTTCGAGTACGGCTTACCATCATTCACAGAGAAAATAGGTGGATTAAATCTCTTCTCTGACATGAATTAGCCGTGTGCAACAATTACCTACAAAACCATTGTAAATTGTGATTAATTAGCCATGTATAAAAGCGACTGTACTTATTAGTGACAGATGAACGTAAACAGCGATTTGCTACAACTATGCACTGCTGGTAGGAACACTTGTATCCAGCTTTTCAAGTCCACTAAGAGCCAAGATATCCCAAAACGCTCACCAGACATCGCGTAATAGACACAAGTAGACTAACGTGCTGCCCCTTTGAATCCTGCTCTCTGGAGAAAAAAAAAATGCAAACAGAGCCCCGTCTGTCTTTGTTGCACACGAACTTTGCTTCTTTCATCTATCTCAGTCAGCTGGGAGATACTGCACAGCGTGCCAGCGAGAGAAATGTTGTCGTTTCCCAGCCGGCGCATACAAGTCAGCAGCTAGTTAGAAACTCCACTCGTACAAGAGCATACAATGCGATTACCGTGTTTCATAAACCGGACAACAGTCCCATCAATGCCCCAGTCGTTTGTCATCTATGCGCCACGGAACCAACTATCTGGGGCGAGGCGCCTCCTGCGATCGATCGGTAGCATGTGTGAAAACGGGCGCAGGTCCTCGCTTGTGGCACAGCTTGCGACACAGCTTGCAGCACAGCTTGTGGTACAGCTCGTGAAAATCAACTCACCAACCATGCCTTCCAAGTGGTGTCCACCGAGATATGTGGACCGCCTTTTCCCGCCCGTTGTGTAGTCTACGTGCCGTTTGCCGTCCAGGTGGAGCTCCGAGGCCCACACGTTGCTGCATCAAGACGCCTTGGTATCCGTGGAGATAGCACGGATCTAAATTGTTCTCAACCCTTGGATCGATCCGGCACGGCTATGCCTCAGATCGTCCCACTGTGGAGATCAAGCCGCCAGTATAGGGGGCCTGATTAGCACGTCCGCGACGACGGATGGGGTGGGTCATGGCACTGCTCGAGCCTGTAACGCTCAGGGGGAGGCAAACGGTATGCCCGAAGAACATCTCCAGAAAGGCACCTTGGGCTTTTGTAATGCATTACACGGAATGCATGTACATTACCAAGAGAATACTCCACTACAACAAGTCCAAAAGTCGTCCAAGGACCATAAGAAACAGTGCTAGTGGAGATCTAGGCGGAAATCGGCGAACTTCCAACCGCCTTTTTAGATACGTTCGATCTCACAGAGAGAGATAGAATAAACAGTAGCCAAGGGAAAAAAGGGTTTCTCGCAAAGTACGGTCTTCATCACCAAGGTCGTAGTTCAAGGGACTTTGCAGATCCGAGTATCTCCCACATCCCAAAGGGCGGCTATGCATATATTGATGACGACCATCAGGCCCACTCCGTGCACAATCACATGCCAAGCTACTTACGGGAATGGCGCAATCCCCATACCCAGCGAGACGGATAGACGACCGGAGAATTTATGCACCAGACGGCAGAGCGACCCGTTGTGGCGTATATGACGTTATTTAGCGAGGTCTGTGGCGAAACTCGATGTGTGTTTCATAATCCTACACCATCCCCTTGGTATTTGACTGGATAAGAAGGCTCCTGTATCGTTTGTCGTCTTAGACATACCTTCTATATCAACTTACCGCCATGTGGGCAGAGAACGTACGGGAATACCGTTGGGCTGCCGTGAAGTGTGTTGATGAGAAGTTCAGTGAGCGAGAGACGACGAAAACTTCATTACCGAAACCAACTTACCCCCCCCCCCACCCCACAAATTTTAATCTTTATACAAAATGCTAAATATGATACGGTACCATGCTGCGTGGATACCATCCAGCTGGTATCATGCCAGCTCGTATATAAAAATACAAGACCCCTCAAAAGAGCCCACGATATGCATCTCCACCCTCACCTCCATCCACAACAACCTAGCCCCTCCCTCTGACTCCCCTCCAAAACCTACTTACCCCATCTCTGCACCTCAGCGCGCCACGCCTTAAACCCCTCTTTACGGATTTCAGAAACGCCACACCGTCGTCTCGCGCGCGTGCTGGAAACGCATCTTCATCGAGCAGCAGGCGCCAGCGAAAGCCCAGGAACACGGCTTTGGCCGACACCCGCGTCTTGTATCGCACGCCGTAGTCGTGGCGGAACGACTCGAACTGCTGCGTGCGTGCGTAGAGAGGCGTGTACGTGTATCCTGCAGGACCGGTGGATAGCGGCGTTCGAGTGCCCGCGTACGATGGCAGGAAGCTTGGCACGTGGAACTGTTCACGCGCTGATGTATTGTGGGTGCCAGACCAGGGACGGTAGTTGAAGTAGTCTTCTTTGCCAATGGATAGCTGTGCTGCGACTTGCTTAGTTCCTTTTTTTGCTTTTTGCGCTGCTGCTGCTGCTGCTGCTGCTACTGGGATGCATGGCGTATCACACAATGGGCTACGTACGTACATTTTAGGGGAACAGCGGGGCGAAGCATTGTATTTGGAGTCCAGCTCACGCCGTGTCTAGGCGATGTCATGCTTTTTTCGTTTGTCTGTTTGTTTGTTTCGCTTACTATGCTATCATATTCTAAGTCTGCTTTGGAATGGAATGACGTTGTTGCTGAGGGAAATATTAATCTGAGATGATAAACAGTGGGGGAGTGTGCGTGAAAGCCTCTGTTGGTTCACAATGTTGTCGAGTAGCTTTGTTCAAACTATGTTCGTTCACAATGTACACTTTTCCGATGATCCCCACTCAAATTCACTATGTGTAGTCGTGTGACGCTCATTGCACTTCATCATGCTGCTATGTCGACGCCAGATGCTACATCAAGTGTTCACACGCCCGATTGTGCCGACATATACCCACTCGCCGTCATCCTGAACCTGCCAAGGACTCGCAAATATCTGGATCTTCTCGCTAGTACCAGGTCCCATATCAAGATACCACTGTTGTGCAATTGCATCCCATTCCCAGTCTTCCCAGGCACCCAATAGCTCTGCCGCTCGATCGGGCATCAGGTTTGTTCCGGCCATGTTCACATGTTCCCAGACGTTCCTTGCCTCGTTCAACCTCCATTGCGACAGGAAGACGTACGTATCTTGCGCCTGCAGGTATGTGTAGAATTCGCACCACACGGGATCCCAGGTCCAGGAATGGGCCGACAAGGTTGGCTGAGGTGTGCGCTGTTGAGGGGAATTCGAAGAGGTGACGAAATCGCGGAGCATGTGTACTGCACTTGCAAGGTCGGCCAAGTCGACTGTGTCTGGTAGTATTGCATCTTGTGACTGTGGTGATGGCGGATGCCATTCCTCTCTTGAGCGAAGTTGTTTTTCTAGTCTCACGAGCTCTGCCAAAAGGCCCTCCAGGTGGCGTTTCGTCCCTTCATCAGCAGCTACAAACTTCATCATTTGTACTGATCCATCTCCCAACGGCAAATCATCGGTTGTTTCTAGTATGAAATTTTGACGCCCACTCTTCACATCCTCGATGAAATTTCGTACTCTAGCCTGAAGCGTGGTGATGGCCTCCGCGAGATCCGGTACTGGGCCTGCCACATGCGGTGTTGAGGCCATTTTGCAGGGTGTTTTGCGCGATATACACTAGCAAGGATTGTGCATTAGATTCCGGTGATGATGAGATGCAATAGTTGTGCTGAGAAAGGATTCAGATGAGATTCGGTGTGTGGCGATGTTCACGGGAGGTTGCCGGTTGGGCCGGGTTTAGTCCATTGCGCCACCCTTGGGCCACAGTCGCCGACTAGAGAGTTTTCAAGATAAGTATCGAGATTTGCACAATGCCATGTCGCAAATACATGTAAACTTCGGTCTCTGATACTTGCGAGTCAGTCGCAGTGCGCCTCTAGGCGGTGTGCACAAGTTGCGGCAAACACTTACGTCACCCCTGAACGTCTTATCAATCCCTTACCAAGCATACCAAGCGGCAAATCTCCCGTCTTCCTGCCGTCAGACGCACCATTGCCATTCATCTTCTCCACAACAACAGACTACTCACGTCTTTTGCAAAAGCAGTCTATTTGTGCCGAGTCTTAGTACGTCAATCTCTGCCAGCACCAAACCATGCAGCCAAGCCAGTGTATCTCGAACCCTTGTACTACATGACTCAAGACCATCAACCCTACTAGTTATATTAAGCCAACTATTGCACGGCATACTAATGCAGACTACGAATACAGTGCAAGGTTATGTGCGGCTGTTCCCGTTATCGGAATGTACGGTAGCAGTAGTGCTTACAACGTACGTATACCTCGGTCTTAGCCCATGTCCACTAAATAGTGACACCGAACCCGAGCATGCTACGGGACAGTCTTACTGCTTTTGTGCTGCGGCTCTCCGTCTACCTTTTCTCTAGTCAGATCTTTGCAGGTATGATGATATTCCGTGGGGTGGAGTGTAGTCATGCCATGGTCGTGTCATTCTCCCTTGTTCGCCTAAGTCAGCCTTGCTAATTACTGTATCGGATCACGCAAGATGAACTTGTGGAGCTTCTCAAACCGACAGCGCACTTGTTATCTCGTGGTATTCATTCCATCCAGATCCCGGTCTCCCTTAAGCGTGTGAGGTGCTGGCTCTCTAATCCTCGATCTGGACACTGGCATTCAGCACGCCCAAGCTCATCCGCTAATCATAGTACATCCCCTCTGTGGGATCTATGACCATGAAAATATTTTATGAAATGTTCGCGTCAATAGATGGAAGGGAGCAGATTCAACACTTTAACTTCGGGTCGCTCACCATGTCATCAGATTAGAGCTGCGATATTGGGTTAAGCCGTTTGATCCACTTCGAGACAGCAAATCCGTTTTACCTCATTTACTTTCCCCATATAAATGGTGATGTGCTTGTTGTTGAAGGGTATTAGCAAGTCAGAGAAATGTAGTAGAGCTGCCGTGGTAATATTGATAGTATGCTATGAATTGTGTCTGGGTGTAGTTGAGCTCCACACGAGTATCAATGACTGTTACTGTTCACATCATTCCCTTACAAGTGTTCTTTAGCAGATGCTGCTGGAAAACCCTGGTCTTGAGTTGGCCGGATTGCTGCTTGAACGCGTTGATAGTATCAACGCGGCGAAATATTGCAAGAACATCCTTGTTTCTGTTGATCAAACCCCTATACGAAGTCTTAAATGATCACATAGCTCTCAAAGCAATACACATTGCACAGTTTGTTTCCAGTCAACACCGATACTCGAGCCCCTTTGCAGCATCCTTGACCCGACGCACCCAACTTCATTGCCTGATCGTCTTACAACCCTATTCTGAAAACACGTGTTCAAATTCGGTACCACCTAAGCATAGCTTAGTGCTTCATAAGCAGGATATAGATAGCACCATCTACTGCATTATGAAATGGGCTACATCAGCACATCAAAATCACTCGTAAAACAAATAGATAGCGCCATCATTAGACCGACCTGTTCTGCGCAACGGGGAAACCGATTTCCACGTTTTCAGTAACGCCACAACCTTTGCTAGCGTATTCGAATCCCTGAAACATAATCATGTGTGGCAAAAAAGGTGAAGGAAATTACTCACGTACCACTATGGAGATGTTGAATAGGCACAGTAGAACAAGCACGTGTGATATAGTGGCATTCAAGCAATATGTCCGCGCAAGCTTTGACTCTCATTCCCAAAGTGTGCGAACCAACTATTGCATCATGCTCTCCCTTCTCAACAACCAAGCTATCTAAACGCTACAAACCAGAGGCACGTCGCGCTGCATGTGACATGATGTGATGTACTGCATTTATCGTCCCCACTTGAAACCTCCCGTGGGGCATGTGGACGTGCAAAGCGCAGGACTCAAGGTCCAGCTGGAGAAACTGTGCAACAACATAACCCCATCAAACAAGGCTTTTGCATCGACAACGCTTGAGATGATTCATATACCCTTTATTTCATCAATATACTTACTAGGGCTTTCCCCCCGAACAACGAAGCCAACTACACTAGTATCAAACAAGTCAGTAAGTTTGCGTGCTTCGAATACCACGAGATGAGTTTCCGTCACACGAATCCAGGCAAAGAACATACAAAAGGTACAGAGAAAATAGTTTTCACAGCTCAAACCCTACTTGCGGTTCCGCCCCTAGGTAGCTTTAGATTCAAATACCCATCATGAGTTCTAACCCATTCTTTCATGCCAGCAACTTTCTTGACTCATCTTTCGCGCTATCTCAATACTTCCTAGACTATTTTTTTCTTCTTCTCTTGTTCTTGTTGTTGCTGCTGTCTTTGAATCGCGCGTTTTCCACAGAATCACACACTGTGTACTCTGCACTACCACTACCACTGCCACCACGACGCGGCGCGGCGGGACCACACCACCATGCATACACCCCACCCAGACGAAAAGAATATGAAAATGAAAAAGAACTCAAAACAACACACAAGTACTTCCCGTCTCCCGCATCTGCGTGGCGCAAATCCAAACACAAGTTGGAAGAAAAAAAAGCCACATTCACCCTCCGCACCACAACCTCCCCCCAAGTTTCCGATCCAGAATACACACACAGTACACACACGGCGCCCGATACAGCCCTAGGCAGATTCAGGCGAGCGGCGTGCATCTGACACACGCACCGTCAGTCATGCGGAGCTCGAAGGGAGGGAGGGGGGGTGATCATGACGACGACGATGATGGGGTACTGTAAGTCAGCCAGGCAGCGGACGGCGTGACTAACGCATGCATAAACCAAGCCAGTTTCACCTTGTGGCAGTTTTTTCTCGCAGCCCAACAGCCACAGCCACAGGCCTTGGGAAAGACAAAAAAAATAAGGTTAAGGTTGGGAAGGTGCATGAGACGTTTTTGCGTCATGTGGGGAGGGAAGAGACGCAAGAGTTATGCGTTTTCTATTGCTTGCGAGTGGGGGGTGTTGTGCTTTTTTTTGAGGAAGGGGTTGGGTAAACAAGGAGTCCCCGTGCGGAGACACACGTGAGTGCATGAAAACATGGTTTGTAGGGATAGCAGTGGCGGTTTGAACTGCGTCAGGATAACGCCACGAGTTTGGATGAGGAAATGCGGGGGCGGAAGACGAGGTGGAAGAGGCATGGAAGTGTTAGGATTTGTTGTAAGAGTTTTTTTTTACATTAACGCTATGAACATTGGGGGGGGGGGAGGTCATTCTCTGCATTTCCGTTCACAGTGATGATGGGTTGGTCCATGTTGCTTGTACACAGACGAAAAAAAAGTAATAATCACTGGAGAAAAAAACAAGAATGTAGAGACAGCAGAGAAAAGGGAGACAGCTTTGCATGAACCAGAGCCATGTGTCTGTTCTGTCTGACTGTCTGTTTGTTTGTCTGCCTGAGTGGTTGACCAAAAAGGAGGGAAAAAAGAGTGGATTGTCGAGAAGAGAATGGGAAAGGAAACCAGGGGTATTCTTGCAGCTGTGATCCACCAGCGTGCTTCTTGTCGGTCATTGTTGTATTTACAAGAGAAGAGCGGCAATGGCGCCAACACCAGCAAGCGCACTGCCGACCTTGAGTCCAGAAGCGGAACCAGAGAATTCGGGGACAGGAGGGCGGGTGCCGCTGGGAGCAGCAGTGCCAGTGCCCATGGCGGGAGGCTTGCCGCTGACGGTGGTGGAGCCAGCAGGGACCAGAGGAGTAGAGGTGGGGTAGTAGGCGGACATGCTCGTGGGAGCAATGGGGGTGTGTCCAGCAGTCCTAAGCGGACGTTAGTACAGTGTAACTAGAGACTCGGGTATGGAGACAAGACGTACACAGTGACGGTGACGGTGACAGGAGCAGCACAAGTCTCCTGGCCAGCGACGGCTGCGATGAGAGAAGCGGCAACAATGGCGAAACGCATCTTGTTTATTGTTCTCGTGTACGAGGTAAATAGGGTATAGAGCGAAAAGAGTAGTTGAACCTGGAAAGATGGCTTGCAGTAAAGACCGTAGTGGTTGGTATAAAAAGAGTGGCTAACAGTATGAGATACTATTGATTATGGGCTGGTTGGATGGAAAAAAAGAAAAGGGAATGCCTGTGAGACATGAAGCATGTCTTATACATGTCGCATATTATCGGTAGATGAAGGAGAGGGGCGGAGTGGTGTGGATGGGGCGCGCCAGCCTCGCTTGGAGATGGACTTTGCCATTTCATTTCCCATGGTCTTGGGGTCTGGTTCAGATGCAACATCCTTGCACGTACCTGAGAGGTTTAGAAGCTGGGGGGTTGATAGCGGAGATTAGGATGGCGATCTACGCGTGACTGACGCCATGGTTGGATGATAAACCTCGCACCGCCCGGATAACGGTGGAGAGAATTGCGCGTCACGAAGACAAATGACCACTACTGTCTTGTTAGTGCACACTGGCAGAATCGATCCTTTTTGGCATTCCGGTTCAGCGCTTCCAGCAGCTTTGAGGAGGCATTGTAGCCTTGTCCATGCCCTTGGAAAACGCTGAACAAGGGCAGTGTTTCGAAACAGGCTGCAAGCCACACCATCCAACCAAGGCGGCGGCTTGTAGATTAAGCTCATCTTGCTGGAGCCGCCCAATATCACCAGATGGTCTCTGGCACAGCCATCTGAGACGTTGGCGTGCCCCTGGTGCTAGCCCACCTCGGCCTAGTGTGTTTGGGACTACAGCAAAGCGCTCAGTACCTGTCGATCCGTGTCGCGTCTTTTGCGCTTACATGCATAATGACAGTAGGACAAGGCCGAGCCGGAGAATAGTCAAACGCCATGTCTAACAAGCATCGGCAGGCCGGCAGCCGAGCGAGCATGACGCACGAGGGACAGCGAAGGCAGACAGAGGGCGCAGTGTATGTACATACAAATGCTCGTATTCGCTAATCTAGTCATGGTCAAAGAACTGGGGTATTGCTCTAGAATCGTTAGCCATGTACTGACTTGAAGTGAGTACACCTCCAACGCCAAAAAGTGCTCGAAGCCTCGCGGCTGGCACACCGAAGCTCACTTGACTCTGCCCATGATTGGGTCGGGGGGCGCATCTTCCGCAATCGCCTCGGCAGCCTTTGCCTTGACTGCATTCAGCATGCCCCGGTCAAAGTCATCTCTTGTCCTCAACACTGCCTCTACCCATAATATACTGACATCCCGGTACGCAGTCTTAAACTGCACATAAGCAAATTGCACCTGCGACTTGTCGCATTCGAGCAGGTTGAGGAACTCTTGCACAGCCCGCCATCGCTGCATAATGTCTGCACCTTGGTCGCCGTACGACCGGAAAAACTCAAAGGCGGTCAGGAGGTCGTCCTTCATCTTTGCTGCAAACTGGTCTGTTCTCTTAAACTTGGCACCCTTGTTGCGTACGGCGCCAAGATACTGCACCAGCAGCTCGTCCGCCAGGGAATCGATGATCAGGTCGCGGAGCGACCGGTGCAGTTGGCCCTCGAATTCTGCAAGGTAATCCTTGAAGGTCAGAATGATCGAGGCCATGTCCGTCCTGGCATACCACTCGGGGGTGAAGAATTTGGAAAATATGGGCTTGAAATCGGTAAGGAAGATGAGTTCGCAGAACGTTTGTATACAGTGTGACGAAATGTCAATGTAGCCGTTCTTGACCTCATCAATGTTCTTGGACAGCTTGTCAATCATGTAGTCTTGTGAGACAATGGGCGTGACTTCGCGCTCAAAGACACTGAGGAATGAAGCACGACCGCTGCCTTCGAGGTCGTCGTCGATGCAGATAATTTGGTCGTTTGCAAGCGCCACAAGCCATTCTTGGAAGATGGGCACTCCATCGCCATCCAGTGCGGGGTTTACGCCGACATATTTGGCCTTTTCTTCGTCGATGAGCTGGGTCCATATGCGCTGGCGCGAGATAAGAGCGCGGAACATGGCATCTACGACACCGTCGGCAACGTCCGGGCGCTGGCTGCTGGCCGCGACGCCGATGTTCTGACTGAACAGCGTCCAGACATCTCCTAGCGACCTTGTCTGGTAGATGCCGTCGGGGTTGATCTCATATGCCGATCGGTCCTGCTCCAGGAAGCTCTTCCTGTCCTGGGTGTTGATGCGCTCCATGTACTGATCAACTGCCTGGATAATGACTGAGCGGTATGTGCGGATCAGCTCGGCACTGCGGTTGTCAATCACATGGGGCTGCAACTGCTCTTCCGAGAAACCAAGCTTCTGCATTTTGGCGTAGTACTTGTCCACCCAGTTAATGACGGCGAGCAGGTACTGTGGGCCCAAAGCTTCGTCGTCGGCAAAGCCCATTAGAAATTCGTGCATCTGTGTGTGGTAGATGTTTGTATACGTGTCAAAGATCTTCCACTTTTTGGGCATGAGGTTCACCATGCCCAGCTTGACCGTGTTCAGATTGTTGAAGTACCACTTGAAGTACTTTTCAATCTTTTCCGGGTCTTCCATAAACTTCGTCCTCACTTCATCCATTTGCGCCTTGCAGACATATTCAATGGCCGTGATGAACTTTTCCTTGTATCCACGCAGCTCCTTGGGCCCTTGGGCGATGGACTTGAAACGCGAGGCCAAGTCTCCAAATTCCCGCTGTGCGTCCTGCAGCGCCTTGATTTTCTTGTCCGTCTTCTCTTCTTCCTCGACAACGACGGCCAGACGCACCACCATGCCATCGTTGCCGCTCTGGACCAGCTCAATCAGATTTATGCAAGCCTCGCCAACATGCCGGTCAAACCACTCGACGACATCGTCCAGCCGAGCGAAGAGATCCTGCACCGTCACGCCGCTTTCGAGGGTGAGGTTGTCGATGAGCTCCGTGGAGCTGTCGCTGTTCTTGATCTGGCCCATGGCTTCGTCGCGGATGTCTCGCAGCTGCGTCAGGCCATAGTGAACCTGCAGCAGATTGGGCTGGTTGGCGGGGTCCTGGGCATCCTGTTCCAGCAGCATCTCGAGGTTCTCGAGGCGGTCTGCGAAGCTCTCAATGTCGTTGCGCATCTTCTCGACCGACTCAAAGTTCTTGTGAGTCTGGGCAACCAGGTTGATGTGGGGAAAGTCCTGGATCATGTTCTGGGCCTCAGCGCACAGCTTGTCAATCTTCATCATCTCCTCCTTGATTAGGTTGACGGTGCGCTGGCCCTCGGTGATGCTGTTCATGCCCGATTGGGTCAGCTCCAGCTGTTCCTTGAGGCCATGGCGCAGTTGGCCGTCGACGGCCGCCTTCTTGCGAGTAAACTCGGCCTTGAGGCCGGGGATCTTGTCAAGGTCCTCTGGGTGTCGCAGCAGCTCAGCGAGCTTGACGGTGGCCGACTCGACATCGCCCATGGTTCTGAGCGGTGATCAATTGGGCAGGCGTGCGCCCATGATAGGGCGGAGTGGGCGGACGAGACGGGCGGGCGGAGTGGGGTATGGCGTTGTATGCGAGCGCGGGCGGGTGTTATTATGTACGTGTTGTTGCGGGTTCCTGGGCGTGTGTGGATGGACGGGACAGTCTGGGGGCGGCGGGCTGACGCACGTCGAGGCCTAGCGCGTCGGCGGTGGGCTGCGGGCAAAAGTTCCCACCCCGCCGCCACCACCGCCATCACTCACTCCCCGGGCAATTCAGGACAAAACCAGTCACCGCATTTACTACTACGCACGCACACCCAACGAGACACACGGAGCAACATGGCCGACGAAGAGCTCAACCTCTACGACGAAATCGAAATCGAGGACTGTTTCTATGACGAGACGCTGCAAATTTACCACCATCCGTGTCCCTGCGGCGACCGCTTCGAGATTTCCATCTTCGACATGCGCGACGGCGAGGATATTGCGCGCTGCCCCAGTTGCAGTCTCATGATCCGGATTATTTTCGACCCAGTATGCGCGCCGCTTGTCCTTCTCCCAGCACGCTCTGTTGCTAACTCGGCGCAGTCCGACTTGCCGCCCGAAAACGACGATGCGCCGCAAAGCGTTGCCATTACCGCCTAGACGTCCTTGTCCTCACTCTAGAATCTTTCTGGGGAAGCCTTGGCGCTGACCTCACTGCATCCACGGCGTTACATTATCACGGGCGTTTGAACAACCTGGGGCTGACATCAGGCGTTTGTCAAGAGGGCGATATATGCGCAATGTAACTTGGGCCTGTCGCGATATGGCTACGGGCTACCATTCCTAAGATGCATGCCCCGTGTGCTCTGTCGCACCACCATGTCCTACATCATGTGCGAGTGACCATGTCCGGCTGCATCAGCGCGGGACCTCGTCGTCGACGCTGACATCAACACCCAGCTCCTTTCTGATGATCTCCGTGAGCGAGGAACCGTCTCGCAGATATACCCAGTCTCCGATACCACAGCCCTCCTTTTCACTCATGCCCTCCTGCGACACGACCCAGTCGAAGCGCTTGGGGCCTGAGATTGGGGAGCTGTACCAGATTTGTTTGTTGGGAGGCTGCTTGTTCAAGACGAATGTATTTTGTTGCAGTGTGACCTCGAGGACGCCAGCCTGTTTGCAGTAGACAAGGGTTAGCGCGCAACTCAATGCCGTGAATCAAGACCATTCCGACATACCGAATAGTCGACCTCAATGGCAGGGTCGTTCTCCTGTGCCTCCTCCAACCTCTGAAGCAGCTCGCCCAGGTAGTGGTCCGCACGCTCATGGAACTCTTCTATCGAGAGCTCTGTCGCCTTGGATGGCGTGTCTTGCGAGTCAAGCTCCTTTGGCTTTGGGTTCTCGGCGTCTGGCATGATGCTACATGCGCCCATGGATGCGTGGAAGGGGCGAAATGGCGCGGCATTGCTGGCCGCGGGAGCGGGAGCTCGAATGGCAATGATGCAACTGGCAGGCGATGGACCGCGAAGAGGGGAGCGAATGGCACGGCGAACCGCTGCACTGGCGAAGCGGGTTGCGGGCCTCATCGTGTGTGTGTGGCTAGCTGGAGATATGCTGGAAAAGGACCGATACTCGTAGGCTGGTTGGTGGTGGTGAGCTTTGGAGTGCTACCGAGCAATGACGACGAGAGTGTTCCTGGATGAAAGCAGGCGGCGGGCGCATGGACCCCTCCTCGCTCGTACTCGCTCTCGAGCCTCTCCCCGCATCTTCCCCCAGCGCCGGCGCTGCTCTCACCCACCCACCAACCACGCAGCCGCCACCGCCATGATCAACGCCGTGCTGGTCTTCAACAATGCAGGACAGTCGCGGCTGACCAAGTTCTACACCCAGCTGGTATGTGCAGGTTTCCCGACGACTACTGCCACCACGACCACGACCACGACCACGACTAAGCAAACACAGGAAACCAGCGTCCAGCAACGCCTCATCTCGGAGATCTTCACCCTCGTCGCCAACCGTCCCAACTCGGCATGCAACTTTCTCCCGTACGCCGTCCCTCGGCCAGCATCTGTTGCTCTGCTGCCGACTAACCACGCTGCAGCCTTCCGCCTCTCCTCGCCAGCAGCTCCAAATCCTCGGCGCCCACGACGCCGCACAATGACACTCCCTCTCTCGTGACGTACCGCCACTATGCGACCCTCTACTTCATCGTCATATCGACCTCGACCGAGTCGCCTCTTGCCCTTTTGGATCTCATCCAAGTCTTCGTGCAGGCGCTCGACGGCCTGTTTGAGAACGTATGCGAACTGGACCTCATCTTCAACTTCGAGACGCTGCACGCGACACTGGGCGAGATGATTGTGGGCGGTGTGGTGGTCGAGACACAGCTGGACAAGGTGATCCAGGGCGTCAAGGCACAGGGCCGAGTGGCCAAACGACCCGTGAACGAGGGAAAGAACCTGGGCGGCGGTGGAGGCGGTGGGGTCATGGGCGGGCTCACATTCGGTGGCTTGGGGAGAGGAGATGGCATTTGGGCCGGACGGTGAGGCTCAAAAAGGCTCACCGTGGACGTCGCCGGCTTCCAGTCAGTATCTTGGATGTGTGGAATCTTCGACGATCGCAACGGTGGAGATTTGTCCGTGTGCGTGTTAGCCAGAGCTTAGGCCCCCAACCTCCACGACGACATGTTCGGGCCCTCTGGCACTACTGCATACGTACTCTTGGCCTGCGGTCTTTTCCTCGATTGGGCCAAGGCCCCTCAGGTCCCCGAGGCAAACCACCTCGCTCCAGCGCTGGCATCGCCCCAACTCGGTGTCTTTCCCAGCTACCTCGCACCGGAAGTTATGCTGAGAGTTTTTCCGCGCGGATAAAAGCGCCGGCAAAGGTCAAGGGTCGCAGGAGAAACGAAACCAAACGGGGTGTGGTGGATTGCTGAGCTAGGTTTAATGGAAACAAGCTTTTAATTAGTTCGCTGCCAACGCTCCTCAACGTGACCTGCGGCCCACGCCCCTTCATCTACACCGTGCAGACGCACAATTGTGGGCATCATACCCGCTGATTGATGCCTTCTGGCCCTCATTTCCGGCGGGCTGATTGCTGGAGTGTTTCGAGGCCATACCAGTCTCGCACAGGGCCTCCCCGAGGCCGCGCATGCCTCGCAATGGACCATTGCAGGCTTATAAGAGCCTCGCTGCCTCCGCCATGATTCCTCCGACACCTCTACAGCCACCAGCTCCCAAGCCAACACCATGCGTCTCCTCACTCTCTTCACCAGCCTCCTGACGGTAGCCTCAGCGGCTGTCACCAAGCGTGCCGTCACGCCTGGTACCCTCTCCCAGGTCACCAACTTTGACGCCCCTACCAAGGCAGGCTTCTTCATTTACGTTCCCAAGAAGCTGGCTTCTTCCCCTGGCATCATTGTTGCCATTCATTACTGTACCGGCACGGGACAGGCCTACTACCAGCAAACCTCGTACAAGACGCTGGCTGAGCAGTATGGCTTCATTGTCATCTACCCCAGCTCGCCCAACGAGGGCAAGTGCTGGGACGTGAGCAGCACCAAGTCGCTCACCCACAACGGTGGCGGCGACTCCAACACCATTGCCAACATGGTCAAGTGGACTCTGAAGGAGTACAACGCCAATGCCAAGAAGGTCTTCGTTACTGGTTCCAGCAGTGGTGCTATGATGACTGTACGCTACCCCCTTTTGCCTCGTAGTCATGATACTAACATGTTGGTAGAACGTCATGGCCGCCGCCTACCCTGACATGTTCGCCGCCGCCAGTCTCTACTCCGGTGTGCCCGCCGGTTGCTTCAAGTCGCCCAGCGGTGCTGTCGATGCCTGGAACAGCGACTGCGCTCACGGCCGAGTCACCAACACACCTGCAGGCTGGGCCAAGATTGTCCAAGCCATGGACCCTGGCTACAGTGGCGCTCGTCCCAAGATGCTTGTTTACCACGGCAGTGCCGACACTACGCTCTACCCCCCGAACTACCAGGAGACGATGAAGGAATGGGTAAGTAGTCATGTGACCTTCTCTTTATGAAACAAGGGACTCGAGCTGACTTTATTTAGGCCGGTGTCTTTGGCTACAACTACGACAAGCCCCAGAGCGTCCAGCAAAACACTCCCCTGAGCGGATACACCAAGACCACCTGGGGACCCAACGTTGTCGGTGTCTACGCCGCCGGTGTTGGCCACACTGTCCCTGTCCGCGAGAACGACGACATGAAGTGGTTCGGTTTCGCCTAAGCGCCCTACCAGGTCGCTCTATCATGCACTGCACATTTGTAACCACGGATGCCTGCACGGAGCGAAACAGACTTCCAATGTATATATTTGATTCTGGTGTATATATCACATCCAACCCACATATCAAAATCAACTCTTTCACCCCTGTCCATCTTGCTATCCCAGCTCCTCATGCCAAAAAAAAAACGAATAAAAGACAAGAAACACGTGTTTACATTTCCATGTAAACACGGTCGTGAACTATGCAATAACTACGACGTCAATCCTAGCCCTGTATGTAGTAAGTATGTAAGCGCCGAGCCGCTGTGCACACACACACACACACACATACACACACACCTATTTAGTGATAACGTCAGCCGCCAATCGATACGGGCGATAGCCAGATAGCTAGTTGATAGTAGTTATCACAAGCAGAGATGGCGCCAGAAGCGGCGCTTCGGTTTCTTGACCCTGTCAGCCCTACTAGTCTCGGCCTGATGGCCGTCGTCGTCGTCGTCGTCGTCGCTATCAAAGCTAAACTTACTCTTAAGTTGCGGCATGGCACCGCCCGCCGCAGAGCGACCAGGAAACTCGTTTACGGCGTCCATGGACACGACGACACCGCTGTCGTGGCGCCGCGCTGTGCTGGTGCTATCATCGTGTGCGCGACTGTGGTCTCGGCGTCGCGACACTGACGCCGTGGTGGCCCCGTGCATGTTTTGCTGCATCCGAGCCGCACGTGAGCGTGCGTACTGCTCCTGCATCTCGGCTTCGCTCCATCGGGCACTCAGCGCGTCGACGTGATGCTGCGGCATGCGCTCGCGAGGCCGAGGCGTAGTGGTAGTACTCGTATGTGCTGGGCGCCGCTGCACGGTACGACCACCGCCATTCCCACGATCCTTTTCATCTGCAAAGTCAAAGTTAGCGCCGAGTGCTTTGCGCGTCGCGTTTCTCACCTCGGAGATGTGGACCCGCTGGGCGTGGGCAAGCCCAGCTTGTTGGAAGGCTGTTTGCGAGTATGTGGGTGAGTGCGTAAAATACGGGCTTGTATTGCTTCGACTGCGTAATTGAGACTCGAGATGCTGTCTTTGCTGCTGCTTTCGCAGGTACTGGTATTCTTCGGCGGGCAGCCCTGGGCTTGTGGGCGAGGTCGGGTAGTAGGGTGTTGTTGGTGTTGGTGTTGTTGTTGATGTTGTTGTGGTGGTGGTGGTGGTGTAGGAGGAGGATGCGTAAGATGAGTAGGGGGTATAGAGCGATGCCATGTTTAATGAATAAGAATATGAATCCCAAGTCAGGACTAGGATTTGGGGGATATCGATATTGAAGGTAAGTATGTTTCGGTTGAACTTTTTTACTTTTAAAGTTTTTTTTGGGAGGGAGTTTGGTTTATTGTAGGCTGAATGTAGTGGGTGTTACTTGGGAATATCTTTGTATACAATGGGAGTCGACATTGTGTGAACACGACGGTGTACTGGTTGTACTTGGTGGGATGGCATAGTGCATATACGTAGAACGTCCTGGAGGTCATGGACACTGCAACCTGAAGAATAGCAGATCAATCAAACCAAGCAGTATCAACTCAACCCCACAGCACATGACCATGCCGCCTCTACACCCTCTTAACCCCATACCTCCTAAACACGCATCTCAAAAACTTCTTTATCCCAAATCCCCACACGCCTCTCCTCACCAACCGCCTCTTCTCCTTCTTTCCCCGGGGCCTCTGTTCCCCTTCAAACGCTTTCTCCGATGAACAAGTCCCCGAAGGCAAAGGATAATACGGAAAGTCTTCGTCGTGAATGATGGGCAAAGGTCCCTGGACCTCTGGGTCCATAGATACGTTCACTTCGATTCCGCACGGCTGCTGTGCATCCGGCTGCACGTTTTGCCAATCCCATTCATGAAACTCTTCTTCGGCGTACAGACTCGCGCTATCTGGCAGAATGTCTACCATGTGTGAAGCAGTATTTGGCTGGGAAATCAGCAGTTCATCTGCCAAGGTTTGGAATGTTTGGAATGAACCGCATCCTGTCGAGATATCCGAGATGTTGGGGGTCGCAAAGGGGTTCTCTCTGCGGGATTGTGGAAGCACTGGGGATTCCAAGTAGAAGTTTCCTTCTGATGAAGTGGGACTGAGGAGGAAAGTTTGATCGTCTGGTGAAGGAGTCTCTTTACTGCTGGCGGATTTTTGGTTTGATGCATGAGTAAAGACGTATGGCATGTTGGCATAGGCCGTGTCGATGGTCAGTTGGTGTTTGTTGCGCGGCATCTTGGATGTGCGGGTGGTGGTGATGCTTTCTGTAGAGTAGAGAGCACGGATATCGTTGAACCGATCTAGATTGTGATGAGTTCAACTGTTGAAAATCAACACACAAGCGAATTTTCTGCGATTTGCAGTAATCAAGGTGGAAATTTTGTTTGTAATATTGAGCTTTTTTTCTTCTTCTTCTATTTGCAGTGGTCCAGAGGGATTAAACAAGGAAGATGGACGTGGCAAAACAAGAACATTGTTGATGGAGTTGCGTGGACTGAACAAAGGCCGCGGAGAGCAGTTTTTCACGCACTGTTGCATAATAAAGGGTCCTGTTCTTTTGTAGATAGCAAACATGCATGCTGTGTGTACGCACAGATACTGTTTATACGAAAAGCTAACACTGAGACTACATGTTGTAAGGTGCACAACAAACACTGGGAGTTTGCACGGAGATTGCACCAGGAAACAGACAGTGCATGTTTTTGCATGATGTAGGTGCAAATTGGAGAGTTGCAGAGATTAAAGCGTGGCAGTGAGCGTAAACTAATTGCTGTTGTAACATATCTTTAGACATGCTATTTTATTGATTCAAGTCATAGCTGACTAGGGTAATTAGATTAGAAACAATAGATCTGACAAATGTTCCGTACTTAACTGCAAGGACCAATAGTATTAAATCACATCATTCTCTTCATCCGAGCTTCACCCGGTGCGGCGTGGTATGTCATTAGCCCCGCGCCACGATGTGCAATTGGTCTATTTAACGTTACACAGCAGTGCATTCGAATTTTGAGTAAAAGGACGCTGGATCCTAATCTCTAACCCCACTTTACAACCGATTCTCTACGATGGATAACAAAATATGCAGCTTCTTTGTCGCTGGACGGTGCTTGAACGGGGAGACATGTCGCTTCCAACATCCTGATACGGTCCCCATCCCTCTCTCTCTCAAACACAAAGTGGAACCTAGCAGCAGCTCGCAGTCTGGCGGCTCTGTTCCCAAAGCAAAGATACCTTGCAAGTTTCATCTCCAAGGCACATGTACCAGGGGAGACTTCTGTATCTTTGATCATTCAAACCCGACTACAGCCACAGCCACAGCCACAGCCGTCCGCCCCGTGTCCAGGGACACTAGGTCGAGCATACCGTGCAGATACTTCCAAAGAGGCATCTGTAGAACCGGAGAGTTATGCCCCTTCAGTCATAATATTCAAGGTAATCTAGTCGTGTCAAAGACGCTGTCGGATCACAGGCCTATCACGGACACTGGCCTCGCTGCATCCACTTGGGCGCGCTCCAACCCTTCCTTCAGAGAGCATGATGAAACCAAACTACCAAGGAACATCGGAGGGGCCACTGTGGTCTTTGCAGAAGGGGCTTCTGTTTCGACAATCTCTTTGATTTCAGACTTCTCCGCCGTGTCCACATCCGAGCTATCCCAACATACATCCGTTCAAGATATAATGGACCTCTTGAGAAGCGTGGGATTTCCTCAGGTAACTCCCGATTGTATTCGCTTCAAACAAATTCTGGAAAAGATCCACAAGACAGCTATAATTAAAGTCCCAGATCCAGACTTTGCAAACAAGCTTCTCCAGCGCCTTGGGAATACCCCTGTCCGTCTCGGGGATGTGCAAGGTCACATTTCGAAAATGCAACTTGGAGGGGAGACAGAATCTGGAATGAACCGGCTCCAACTCACTGGCGTTACGTGTTCATGGTTCAATCCTTCCAAGGTGGCTTATCTCCAATATGAGTCGGATTGGACAGCAAAGCTGGCACTCGAACGCATCAGGAACCTGGACTCAAACCAGCTCATGGGACGGAAGCTCGATGTCACATATCAACCAGTCCGGTCCTTGCAAGTAGGCAATCTCGACCTGAACACGAATGAAGCGGTACTCCGACGCTTTCTTCCTTCTCCACAGCCCATTAGGGTGACTTGGGGACCTCGATCCCACAGGCTCACTGCAAAACAGCTAGAGAAAAGAGTCATCATGCAACTTCAATCTCACGGCACTCTCATAGAAGAGTGTACCCCCAGTTCCCAGAAGGGCGGAAGTAGAACGAAAATCATCGCCAAGTTCAGCGAAGCAGAGGCAGCCCGTAATGCGGTCAAGAGGATGCACGACACCCGTCTCGATCCCGAATCTAATGATAAGATGCAAGTCACTCCTCTCGTGTCCATCAAGTTGTCAGTCTCGTCGCGAATCCTAGCAGCCATTCGACCACAGCTCGAACCTCTTGTTGACCAAACTTGGCGAACGAATTACGTCCAGATTAAAAGCTACGAGGCTCTGGGCAAAAAATACGCTCAAGTCCGCATTTTTGGCCAGTCCAGGGAACCAGTTGCCAAGGCAAAGTCGGCTGTGGAGAAGCTGCTTGCTGGCCAGATTGCCACGGACGGAAATAGCCCGATCACAGACGCGTTCTACTTCCGCCCTTGGTCAAAGAGCTTTCTGGACGACCTCGGAGCCAAACATGGTGTTTTCATACACCAGGATCTACGTCGCTCGGTTCTCAGACTATACGGGAATGCGACGGGTATCGCACACGTCGAACGCGCACTGGTAGCGAAATGTGCAGAACTCAAGGAGCATTCCCACACGGTCATTCTGGATCCTGCGGCTCTGGCTTTTGCCCTCAAAGGCGGATTCCGAAAAATTGTCGCCGCTCTGGGAAAGGACAAGGTGAAGCTAGATATCATCAGCAACCCGAAGCGAATCATCGTCCAAGGCTCCACGCAAGACGTACTCCAGATACAGGAAATCCTCACATCGCGCGCATCATCTCCTCCATTGGACACACTAATCGCCGGGCTCTCCCTCAACGACGACGACTCGGAGCTGTGCTGCCCCGTCTGCTTCACCCCGCCAGAAGCGCCTATCAAGACATCCTGCGGCCACATTTATTGCAGCTCCTGCCTCGTCTCGCAGTGCACGACAGCCGATTCATTTCCACTCAGATGCCTCGGCTCGGGCGCCATGTGCAGCACTCGGATCCCTCTTTCCGGCGTGAAGAGCGTGCTTTCAGGGCCTGAATACGACACGCTCCTGCAAACATCGCTGACGTCGTACCTGCGCAGCGTCGCCACGGAATTCCAATACTGCGCCACCCCGGACTGCGACCGCTTCTACAGAGTCTCAAGCAAAGAGAGCCCGCGGACTTTTGACTGCGACGGCTGTCTCGGCTCCGTGTGCACGAGCTGCCATTGCACTACGCACGACGGGCTCACGTGTGCAGCTAACAAAGCGCTGGCCAAAGCGGCATTGGACGGAGACGCAGAACTCGCGAGGTGGAAGAAAGAGAATGATGTGCGAGACTGTCCCAGGTGCGGCGTGCCGATTGAGAAATCGTATGGTTGCAACCACATGGAATGCAGCGCGTGCCGGATCCACATCTGCTGGTTCTGCATGGAGACGTTTGGTACTGGGAGAGAGACATATGCACACATGGGGCAGGCACATGGCAGCTTTCAGTAAGGGATGGCGGGGTCAGTGTAGGGAGGTGGGTGAATCAAGGATGTAAATTGGGTGTCTTTGCTAAGTATTCGGAAATTATGGCTCGAGTACATTGGGGTAAACTCCGTTACGGCTTGATAGATGCTCGCGCGGAGAAATTTCCCACGGACATGCATACAGTTTTACTGGGTTCCATTTAGTTACCTTGTTAGTATTCGCTGGGTATGTATGTAGTGAGGCACCAGTAGCGTACATACTTTTTAAATATCTAGGAATCTCTTTTTTTTTCTTCTCCCCAACAAAATTGAAAATTCACTATTTATCCTATATTCCATTCCATGCATGTCCCCTCTCCTCTACACCTACCTACCCTAAGCAATTCCTCCAATGCCACCCTCAACCAGAACCACAACATCTTAGCATCACAGTAATACACATCACACTATTTCCCCCTCTAATTCGTGGGAAGATGTGAGAACGTACTACGTACATTCCGTCCCGCCAAAGATACAACGCTAGTCCCATTTTGCATCTAGCGTTCAGCACTGAGCAGTGAGCTGAGACAGATTTGTGTACACCTATGTAAGCGAGGACAGTGCAGGGTTGTGAGACGGTCAGTCAGTCAGTCAAGAGAGAGAGAGAGAGAGAGCCAGTCCGTCAGTCAGTCACAGTCAGATGGCGTGATAAAGGCTGAGGATTATGTGAGTGCCTTTCGGCTCATCTAGGGGGCATAATGTATTCTGATGTAAATTTTCCCAAGGGGAGTGCTGCGTAAGGGGAAAGATACATTTCTTTTGTTGGGTTATGTAGCTGGATGGCTTTTTTTTTCTTCTCTTCTGTCTGGGCCTCACGTGCTGCGATGGTGTGTGTATTCGAAGACAGCTAGCTTGGCTTGTCGGACCGCACGGATCACACAGACACAAACTGTGCCAAGAAGCTTGCGCGCTGCTACAGTGCAGACATATTCCAACGTCAGACGAGGCTGGAAACTCGAGTACAAGTTGGACAGGCTGCTAGTGCTGTGTGGGATACCCCGTTGCTGTCTGTTGAGCTGTGAAGCTTGTGTTGCGAAAATAAATAAATAAAGAGACCGAGGCCTGGAAAGGTGTCAAAGTCATCGTATACATGGACCGTGTGTGATGACATTACATGAGACGAGCAATGGATGCAAAGCCGTCTATTCCACGCTATGCAAACAAAAATCTGGTCTAGAAAGTAGATACCCGAACCTCATTCAACATATCATGGGCAAAACATCAACGCCTGTATGAAAACTCCGTTTTGGGTGACCGGGGGCGCCGTCCAGATGATCCGCAGGCTGGGGAAAATTATGCCAGATTATAAATCTCCACGTTAGCAAATCAACGCCGGCTTTTGAGCCCAGCCCTTGCAGCCGTGGATCGTCGCTCTGGTTTCGAGTCGTCCTCGCTGTCAGAGGCTCCGCCATCATCCATGTCGTCGCTCATAGGGTCTGACATATCCTCGCCCTCATCATCGTCAGTCTCCTCGGCCTCGTCGTCAATGAGGTCTTCATCAGAGCCTTCACTACCCTCGTCTGAAACATCATCCATTTCCATGTTCAGGCCCATTTCGTCGTCAGAGCTTTCGTCATCGTCCACGTCCAGGCGCGACCTCTTCGGGGTGGCAGAGGCTCCCTCGACCGACTCGTCGTCAGAGACGTAGTCATCCTGGCCTTCGACATAGATGAGGGCCTCGTCGGCATCGTCATTGGCGGCTTGGTTCCGTTTCCTTAGGTCGAGCTGAGCCTGAAGCATGTCCAGGCGACCCTTCAACGACATCAGAGGCATCAAACCGCTCGAGCGCTCCTTCAAAACCTTGTTGAGTGCCGTGAGTTGCTTCACGATTTGCGGCTGCGAGGCCAGGTATCCTCCGTGTGCGGCGCTGTGTAAGACTGGGGTTAGCGTGTGTCTTGGGGGTGGAAATTGGCATGTGAAAATCTTACAGAGACCATTGCACCCAGGCCATGAGCATACCCGCGCGGCCAGGACTCCGGTGCAGGCGCTCGGCCAGCCTCTGCAAAAGGGTTCCCACGAGGGGCGACGGCAGGCGTTCGACCGTGGCATAGACGGACTCGACATCCACGACCTGCAGACAGGAATCGAGGAGCTCCTTGTCGTTTGTGCGCAGGGCTTGGGTCAGGACGGTGCCGAGGGAGTTTGCGTTGGGCGGAGCGAGCGGGCGGTCCTTTGCTGTGGCCAGCGAGCGGTCGGGGTTGGGGTCGAAGGCATCCTCGACGCTGATGATGCGCGATTCTTGTACTGGCTCGGGAGCCTCGGCGCGCAGCCGGTCACCGAAAGTAAGGTCTTCGTTGTCGTCGTCTGCGGTGCCATTGGCCGTGGGCGTGTCGCGGTCGAGACGAAGCTGTGCTGGGTGGTCGTGCGCATCGTCTGAATCGTCGTCGCTCTCCTCTTGGGTGCTGCTGATTTCGATGACGTCCGCATCCGCGTCTGCGTGCACATGGGCCATGTGGGCATCGGCGGGCCCCTGGACGGCAGCAGTGGCATCGCCGGCCTTGTGTGCGCGCGCACTCTGGAGGCCGCTGGTTTTGGCCGTGGGCTTTGCGGCGGTGCCGCTGACCAGCGCCTTGAGGCCGTTGTGGCGGGCGGCGGCAGGCGACTGGGCCAGCTTTGCCTTCTTCGCGGGCGGGGCTCGGTCGCGGGCGCGGAGGGTGGAGAGGGCGGCGGGCATGGCGGAGGCGCTGTGCAGCAGGGCGGCGGGGCGGGCGAGGACGAGGAGCTGGAGGGTGCAGGAGGCGTCGTGGGCGGGCGAGGACGAGGCCGTGGTGCCGTGAGCCTGGAGCAGCGCGCAGAGATGCAAGTGGTCGCAAAAAATTTGGAAAGAGCGGATTACACACCCCTGCACGCACGGACCGCGTGGGCCGGGATCATGGCGACGGCGCAGAGGCAGCGCACGACGGCGGCGTCGCAACGCTCTGCGCGCGGCGGGCGGGCGGCGGGCGACAGCAGCAGGCGGTGGGCGCGGGCTGCTGGGGGCGGGCGGCTGGGGCAGGACGGCGAGGGCGAAAAGGAAAAGGAAAAGGAAAGCGACTCGGTGCGGCGGCGGCGTTGAGCGTGGTTGTGCAATGGTGGTCGGCAAGGACACGTACCCGTCCAGGTTAGTGGCAGTCAGGGGCTGCGGCGAGGCTTGGCTCGGAGATGGAAGGGCCGGGCTACTTAACCCCAATGCCTCTCCTCTCGCGTCTGTCTTCGACGCTCCTGAGTCCATTTTCCTGATCTGCCTCCAATCAATACGCGCCTGCTCCCGATCACCCGCCACACCGACCCCGTCCCTCCGTCCCCCCATCCCCCCATCCGCCCGCCCGTCGACGCTCGACGCCCCGCGCGCCAGCCTCTCCCACGACGACGCCGACGACACCGACGACTGCACCCACAGGCTGCACCGCACGCCCACGCCCGTCCTGCGCTGCACCGCCATTAAATCTGCCCCGGCCTTAATTGACCTGCGCGCGCATCCCCCCGTCTGCCTGCATCCGCTTGCCACTAGCGCTCACCGCCCGCGCACCCAGCCCGCCGTCACCATCCGTGCGCGCCCACCCCATCACCAGCCATTTGTGGTGGTGGTGGTCTTCGTCTCGTTGTTGCTGCTGCTGCTGCTGCTGCTGCTGCCACACGCCGCGCTGCACGCCTGCACCCGCCCTTGAGCCCCCCCGCCCGCGCTCTGCTCCCGCCAGCAAACGCGTCGCCTCTCTCGCCCGCCATCAGGCCCGACTTGGCACCGCCCGCGACGGCCCTGCACCACGTCGCCGCCGCCGCCGCCGCCGCCACTACTTGGTACGTAGTCACGTGCGTTTCAGCCTCTCCAGCATATATTCGTGTGTGCTGCCCCTCCCCATCCCTCGCGTCGCATCCCCACGCTAGCCCTACATCCTCGCCGCCCCACCCTTACCGCAAACGCGCCCACGCTGCACTCCCCCGCCGTGTCGGTCATCGTTACGCGTCTAGTGCGTAGTCGCGTGCGCCCGCAATGGCAGTCGCTAACCAGCCCAGATTGGCAGCGCCCGCTCACGCCTCTCTTTCCCAGTCAGCCGCGCGCAAACCCGCCGTTCCCTTTCATGGCCCTATGGCAGTAATGACCGAGCCTTCTGTCGACAAAGCTTCCCTGGACCTGAAGGTGAGCGCTTTTGCGCCGGCAGACGCCATGGCCCTCGACGCTGAAACAAACGGGTAAGTCCGCTCGCCTCACCTGGCCTGCTGCCTATTTGCTCACGCCACTGCAGCGTCCACAGCGTCCTCTTCGACGACCCGCCACCCGACACCAAGCCCGCCGAGGATCCTGCGCAACCGAAACCAACCACCAACGGAAACCACGCACCCATGGACACACCAGCGCCTGCTGTTGAGCCCATCACCGACGTCTCGGCTGGAATCGACGGTATCGCGCAGTTTATGCCCGAAACCCACCAAGACATCAACTCGTTGTTTGGCGACTCGGACATGACTGCCACTGTGACAAACGCCGTCGAAGCCCCGACATCAGACGTACGCGACGAGCCTGCACCTGCCCAAGAGACACCCGCAGAGACGCAGGCGACAAGCGACAGCACACAGGTAGTGCCCGAGACGCACATTGCCCCAAAGGCAGAGGAGCCCGCTGCAGAGGGCATGGACACTTCTGCTGATGCGCCCGAGCCCAAGTCGGAAGAATCATCCGGCGCGCCCACCAAGCCCATGGACGACCTGACCATCAAATCCAGCGCTGACGAAGCCACGGCGCCCCCGTCGACGACACAGTCACCAGCGATTGCCGACCGCGAGATGCAAGATGCGCCGCCGTCTGGCAAAGTGCGCCCACGCGAAGATGACGACGATGACGTCCCTGACGCCAAGCGCACAAAGACCGAGGACGAAGCGGGTGCCCAAACCGACGCTAAGCCGTCGGAGCAGCCCAACCCCATGGAGCAGCCCAACGGCAACAGCGCCACCCCGGGGCCCGCCTCCGACTATGCACAGGAAGCCTCTGGCGTTCACAAGGCGGTCGATTGGGAGGAGTGGCCGACGACGCCCATGACGGATGTGCAGAACAAGTTTTTGCTGGAACGGATACGGAACACAAAGAAGATCAAGGTGTCGTTAGCTTTCAAGGATCCAGTTGACCCTGTAGCGCTCAACATTCCCACTTACTATGACGTGGTCAAGACCCCCATGGATCTGACGACCATGGAGAGCAAGCTCAAGGAGAAAAAGTACAAGTACGTGAGGGACTTCATGGCAGATCTTGATCAGATGATTACCAACAGCGAGCTATTCAACAACAAGCAACACCCCGTCACACAGGCTGGATACAATCTGCGCGCCTACTTCTTGAAGGGAATGGGTAAGATGCCCCGCGGCGCTGCTGCCGAAGAGCCACCCAAGCCGCCAAAGGCCAAGAAGTCGAGCAGTGCCGCACAAAAGGCCAAGCGGGAGTCGCGCGTCGCACCGCCCACGGTCAAGGCGCCTGCTGCTCCCGCGCCACCGGCTACGTCGCCACAGGCTGCCGCATGGCCGCTGCAGCAGGATGGCACTCCGCTCATTCGCCGCGACTCGTCGACGGCAGACGGCCGGCCCAAGCGCGAAATCCATAGGCCCTCGAAAGACTTGCCCTACGCCAATGCTAAGCCGCGAAGGAAGAAGTACCAGCAGGAACTCAAGTTCTGCGAGTCTGTAATCACGGAGCTCATGAAGCCAAAGTACAGCACACTTACTTACCCCTTTGTCACGCCGGTAGATCCTGTTGCACTCAACATTCCCTCGTACCTCAAGATCATCAAGAAGCCCATGGACTTTGGCACCATTGAGAAGAACTTGAAGAACGGCGTCTACCAGAGTGCAAAGGACTTCTACGCCGATGCCCAGCTCGTGTTCCAAAACTGCTACAAGTTCAATCCCGAAGGTGATGCCGTCAATCAGATGGGCCACAAGCTCGAGGAGCTGTTTGAGAGCCTCTGGAAGGAAAAGGCAGACTGGCTTGCCCAGCATGCGCCTCCCCCCGAGCATTCTCCCAGCGATCTCTACTCTGACGAAGACGACGACGACGACGACGAGGAAGAGGAGATAGACCCTGCCCAAGCCCAGTTTCTTGCCATTCAGCAGCAGATTGCCCAGCTGAATGCCACTGCCCAGCAACTTCTGCAACAGCAGACGGGCGGCAAGCGTGCCTCACCCAAGCTGCCCGGCAAGAAGAAGAAGGCGGCTGCGCAACCCGCAAAGAGGAAGAGTCTGCCCTTGGCAGTGCCGCCTCCCGCCAAGCCCATCAAGAGCGCGCCCGTCAAGAAGGTCAAGGCGCCCGCGCCCCTCAGCTTTGCCCAGAAGCAAGAGATCTCCGAAGGCATCAGCACTCTGGGAGATGTTGACATGCGCCGAGCCGTCCAGATTATCCGCAATGGATGCCCGCACCTCGCCAACGTTAATGACGATGAGATGGAGCTGGACATGGACGAGATCAATGACGACACGCTTAGGGAGCTGTTGCGCTTCATCAAGTCTCTGCGCGGACCTAAGAGCGGCGTAGTAGCTGACGACGACTTTGAGCCTCCCAGACAAGTCTCCAAGCAGGCGGCGAGTCGCCCCAAGAAGAACAAGCCCATGGGCAAGTCGGAGCAGGAAGACAACATGCGCAAGATCCAAGAGAAGTTGCAGTCGTTCCAGGGCGGTGCATCGGGCTCCAGCCAGTCTCCACCTGGTGAGTTGTCAGTGTTTGCTCAGCGTCATCATCAACTAACCCGTGCAGTGCATGATGCATCCAGCGACGACGACGAGTCGAGCGGCTCGGAAAGCGAAGAAGAGTAAAAGCACCTCTTCGGCACAACCTCAACCAACCTCAACCTCGTCTTGTTTTCGCGTGACTTGCTCGCCTGCTCTCTGCCCTGCTCTGCGTGTTCGATGATTGGTCCAGTTTCACACACACACCCTCTCTCTTCTATACAATGAATGAACGGCTTTGAGCTTCTTTGTACGGCCGATCGGGTATCGCCACCGATTACCAAGGAGATCTGAAGCGGAACGTTAGCGCGTGCCTCGTAACCTGCGCACTCTCACTCACCATTGCACGTCACCCCTTGTCATGCTCCCCCTCATACCCATCGATTGTATAGTATTCTCTTGCCGACCGACTTTACCCTAGAGGTGCCTTGATAGCGGCACCAATGCCGACAATGGATTATGAGTGACGACGAGGTTTGTCTTTTTTTGGTGGTTCGTTTAGTCGAGAACATGGGCTGCTGGCTGCAAGCAGTATTTGGCGTGGTGTGGGCATTGGACATGGGGGATATTCGAGTAGTCTTTTGCTGTATGAATATGCTGCGTGAGTTGGCAGCCTGAACAAAATGCAAATAATTTTTTCCAAAAGACATGGTGCGTCGTGGAGTCGTGTGGCGTGTCGGTACGTGATGTTCCATGCCGCTTGAGGGCTTGGCTCGGTAGAGCAATCGGGGTTGGGGGGGGGGTACGAGCCAAGGGCGGCGTCGGCAGCCAGGCCCGGTGGGAGAAGGCGAGCGTGACAAAGAGCCTCTTGTTGCTGTGCGTCTTGTGTCGCGTTCGCCGCTGGATGGGCTGGATGCATGACTGTCCTCGTCAGGGGCTGCAGAGCCCCCCTCTCCCCCTCCTTCAGGGTGAGGCAGCGGCGTGTGGTGGTTCCGGCACGGGAGTGGGAGCACCAAAGGGGGGGGGGGAGGCGAGGCGAGGGTGGTGCAAAGACAAGTCTCCCGGGACGGACATCTGAAGCGCAGTGAGTGAGGCGTATCCTTGACGATGCATGCGGGGTGAGGAGATATTGTACGCTCTGTGGGTTGCTGTGTGGGCAGCATGCTCTCTGTCCCTGACTACCGCAGGGCTAGTCGTGTATGACGGCAGCCGGCGGGCGGCGCCAGGGAGGGTACGGAGGTCGAAGACGCAGGCCGGAAAACAAAGCCAGGCGGGCGGCGACGAGGCAATGGGCGCGCCAGGTGCCAGAAGCCCAAGTTGCATCGCAGAGGGCCGCCCGGGGCTGTGGGCTGCCCTGCTTGTGCGAGTGGAGCGCGGAGGGTGGGGAACTGACTGAGTGAACGACTTGAGTGAGTGAGTGAGTGTGTGTGTGCGTGCCTGTGTGGGTGGGCGTGCCAGTGCCCGTCGGTGGTGAGCGGCCGGCGCGCTAGCTGTGCCTTCGCGAATCGCCAGGCAGGCCCTCGCCCCAAAACTTGAGAGCTTCAAGACACGCCCAAACAAGACGCGCCCAGCTGCACCCACCCCCGACGCCGCCCACGACACAGCCAACACTGGTCCCCGCACCCTCGCATTTGTCCCGCCCGTCCCAGAATTGAGTGCTTGCGCCTGCCAAAATGACAACGGTGCCGGTCAGCGAGGTTAAGAGCACGCATGATCGCTCATCACGAACCGCGGCGCATTCCCACATCAAGGGCCTTGGCCTGTCGAGCGATGGGCGCGCAACTCCTTCGGCAGGCGGCTTCGTAGGCCAGGCTGCAGCTCGTGAGGTATGTGGTGCTCTGATACTTTTTCGTGTCCCGATACTAACTGGCGCAGGCATGCGGTCTGGTCGTCGACCTCGTCAAGGCGAAGAAGATGTCGGGCAGAGCTGTGCTGCTCGCAGGTGGCCCTGGAACCGGCAAGACGGCATTGGCATTGGCCGTCAGCCAGGAACTAGGCACAAAGGTCCCCTTCTGCCCGATTGTCGGCAGCGAGATATACTCGGCAGAGGTCAAGAAGACGGAGGCGCTCATGGAGAACTTCAGAAGGGCCATTGGTATGCACTTGCTTCTGCCTTTCTGGCCCCCGCTAACCATGCCGCACAGGCCTGCGCGTCAAGGAAACAAAGGAAGTGTACGAAGGCGAAGTGACGGAGCTCACGCCCGAAGAAGCTGAGAACCCGCTGGGAGGCTACGGCCGCACCATCTCCCACCTCCTCATCACCCTCAAGTCGGCCAAGGGCACCAAGAAGCTGCGACTCGACCCCTCCATCTACGAGGCGATACAAAAGGAGCGCGTGCGTTTGGGCGACGTCATCTACATCGAGGCCAACACGGGCGCCGTCAAGCGCGTCGGACGATCAGACGCCTACGCAACCGAGTTCGATCTCGAGGCAGAGGAGTATGTGCCCATACCAAAGGGCGACGTGCACAAGAAGAAGGAGATTGTTCAGGATGTCACTCTGCATGACCTGGACGTTGCAAACGCACGGCCGCAAGGCGGTCAGGACATAATGAGCATGATGGGCCAGTTGATGAAGCCCAAGAAGACGGAGATTACCGAGAAGCTGCGGTTAGAAATCAACAAGGTCGTGAACCGGTACATTGACCAAGGAATTGCCGACCTGGTACCCGGTGTGCTCTTCATCGACGAGGTGCACATGCTCGATCTCGAGGCCTTTACCTTTCTCAATCGCGCGCTCGAATCGCCCCTCTCGCCCCTCGTCATCCTTGCGTCGAACCGCGGCAACACGCACATTCGCGGCGGCGAAAACCTGCCTCCCTCGGCACACGGCATTCCTACCGATTTGCTCGCGCGACTTCTCATTATCCCAACACATCCATACAGCCCAGCTGAAATCAGCTCCATCATCACAACCCGTGTCACGACCGAGAAGCTTAACATCTCGGCCGCGGCCAAGGAAAAGGTCAGCTCACTGGGCGAGAAGATTAGTCTGCGGTATGCGCTCCAACTATTGGCACCCGCTAGCGTATTGGCAGAGGTCAATGGACGGGAGAACAAGCAGATTGAGGTTGAAGATGTAGACGAGTGCCAGGGCCTGTTCTTGGATGCGCGGAGAAGTGCGCAAGCACTGGGCGAGACGAGTGGGTTCATTTCGTAGATGCTGTCCTCTAGTTTGTACGATAGCCTGGCGTTTTGTTTGGGTGCAGAGAGCGGTGGGCGCTCCTGAAGCAAAAGGAGCAATGTTTATTTTTCTCTCTCTCTTCATTTTCCATGCTGCACCAAAAACTAGACGAAACGTGCAAACTGGGTAATAGGATGTGTCAGCAGAGTCATGGCAAATGTACTGTAGCATGGCCCGCAGGCGATTTGGAAAGAAACGTGATGATGTGCTCGAGTGGCTGCAACGACACACTAACTTTCGGATGATTACGGAAGCGTTGCAAAATAGACGTGCGTTGCCGCTCGGGGGCTCCGATTGGCTGTGCGAGGCCGCGGCGCAAACATGAATGCATGCCATGCATCCCAAGTCGCTGCTCGCCTTTCTCTTCACCACTGCGACCGACTCCGCGACCCAGCGCCCTCTGTCGTATCTCAATCGGAAACACACACACACACACACACATACGCACTCACAAGACAACATACGCCTGGACAAACCTAGTGCTTACCGCCATGTCTACCAGGCTACGCGCCGTGAGCCGCCTGCCGCGGCAGCTATCCCGTCGCAGCTTTGCCATGAGCGCCCGGCGCGCGCAATCGGCCTTCGGGTCGGGCCCGTCGCCGCCGCGGTTGCCCAAGGAGGAACAGGAGATCTTCGAGAGGCTCCAGAAGCAGAGCACGGGTGCGTTTAGCACACCGCGGGCCAGCAGCAACCAAGGAGAAGGAGAAGAAGATGCATTTGCCGCTTCGGCGCGGCCAAATGTGCGTATGCAAATCAACCAATCACCTGACTCCTTGTCGTCATCGTCATCCTCTTCTTCTTCTTCTTCTTCTTCTTCTTCTTCTTCAACGTCTTCCACGTCGTCACGCCCGCAGATCAATCAATCGCCCGACTCAGCAGATGCAGCAGAGATCAGGTTTGAGAATGGCAGAGAGATTAGGCAGGGAGAAGAGTTTCATCCTAATTTGAGGAGGGGCGCGGCACCAGAGTTTGAGGGCGACGTCAATCCCAAGACGGGCGAGGTGGGGGGCCCCAAGAACGAGCCGTTGCGGTGGGGTGCGGTGGGGGACTGGAGTTATAATGGGCGGGTGACTGATTTTTGAGAGACTGGTTGTGCTGTGTATGTGGTGTTTGTATATGTGGTGTCTGTGTAGTCTGTGTAGTCCGTGTGAGAGCGAACACGAAGTTCCTTTTTTTTTGGCCAAGGAGAACGGGGCGCTGCATGTGCATGTCTGGGCGAAACCAGCGCGTGTTGAAACGGCAGGACCATTGCTATTATCGACAACAAAGGGCTACCCGTGCTGCGTGAGTGTGAGATGCGGATGCTACTCTTAAAATGTGGGCTATAGCCAGGTTGCCGCGTCCAGTTGTGCATCTCATGGGTGACAGTTTGCGTTGCTGTGCAGCTGCTGGGAACAAGGGGGGAGGGGGAGTGCCACGGAGATCGTGGAACTGCACATCATCTGTCATGATGAAATATCAAATGTCTGGCCACGATCCGGCGACCCGGCGTATACAGATATTTGTGTGTGTGTGTGTGTGTGTATGTGTATACGTCGACAGCCATGGCGTCTGGGGGGAGGGGGGGGGGAAATAGGGACCAGGGCCGCAGTGGCACCGTACGCAGCACACAAGGCGAGTCGAAGATGGAGGGCCAGGATCTAAGACGCATGCAGTTTAGCGCGTTGCCTATTGGGCGCAGGCGGACGCGGATTTCTTGGGCGCCCAGCTTCGGAAACCAGAGTTCCCCCCTCCAGATTGCGATGCACCGGCGCGCAGGGTTATTCCCTTGACCGGACGGCTGCTGCATGGCGGGAGGGCTGCCTTTTTTTTTCCCTTGTCCTCTACTTTCTTTTCTTATCGACGCTCTCGCTCGCTGTTATGCCGTCATGCCGTTGTCGAGTGCGTGTTTATGCGCCCATGTTGTCGACTTAACCTTATCCACGGAGCGCCCGGCGGCGAGGGTGAGATTCCAAAAACTAACCTCAGCTGGTGCGTATTACCCTTATTATTAATATTGTCGGACTTGTTTTTTCGGACACCACCAGCATGGGCCCAGGCCACGAATACGAGCAGAGACTGGTCGTTCTGGCGCTGGCTAAGCATGCGGTAGGGCGCTTTCTTTGGAGGCAGAGGCGTCTCGCCAAAGCTTGCTACTCCTACGGCCGCCATGCCACGACTATTGCGACTGTCTATGTACCGCTCCCTCGGCATCTCCAGTGCCCACGAGTGCAAATGACTCGCCCAGGCACGCTGCCAGCTAACTCGCCCATGTGGCCCTCGGATCCATGCATCGGATGCTGTCCTTGGCCTGTCTCGCCCGTTTGGCCCTGCATTCGAGGCTCTCTTGCCCTTGGACATGCGTTTCAGACAGGCGGCCAGCAGCTCCGTCGACTCCGCCATGGACCAGCGCTTCTCTCCTGCACACATCCCGGCAGCGATCCCATCGAACCTCCGCGTATCTCACTTTGGTTTCGGCCACATGTCTCCACCCGCCACACAGCCACAGCTAGAGCCATCCAGCCCAGAGCCGCCATCTTCCACGCCCTCGCCCTCCTCCCTCTTGTACATATGCACGCACGCCCACTGACATCCGGTCCCGCGCGCCGGCGGCGTGCGTCTGATGCCACCACCTTTCACGCCACCCGTCTCCTCTCCCGCTTCCCACGTGCGTCAGTAAGACGTGCAAAAAAAAACATTGTCGTCGCCCTCCGAGGCAACGTGTTTCGCAAATCATGCACGTCTTGGGCTCTCGTTGGCGCGCTGGGTGCTTTCTCGGTGTAATTGACCCGTCAGCGTACGCCATCACCTCTTGGAATCCCATCCTAGTTGGTTGCACGTCTGCCTTGCATGCGGCCTAGACCAGGAGGTGCCTGGCTGCCTCATCCCCATGCTCACAAACAGTCACCTTGTCATAACACCCCCCTGGCCGCACGTTGGACCGCAGCGTCGCGGCTTAGGCCCAATCCGTCGTCTACCAAAAGTACCACCTCGTTTAACTGCGCGGTTTTACCCTAGCGGGGGGGGGGTGACACTGCCTTCGTCGTCGCTGGCGTGATAGCCCGCCCGTCGGCCATTTCTACAAAGTCGTCGCCTCAGCCACCCCGAGTCTTGCGTCGGCAAGTGTTACATCGCAAACACGTTCCATCCTGGCTCGAGGTATGTACCATTGGCCGTGGGGTTGATAACACCACCTCTTGCTAATACTTGGGTCCCAGGCGCCCTTTGAAACCCTTTTTTCTTTCTTTCCTTCTTATATCAGTTTATGATGCATTATCCCTACGCTTTGTTTTGGTCCTAATTCCCATCCCCCCTGTGAGAGATCTGCGCGTAGTTTCATTCGCTCATAGCGCTGTCCCTGTTCAAAGGCACTGCCGCGACTACTCGGCCTCATCCGCTTAGATATTACCGAACAGGCGCCTTATTTGTTGGTCTTTTCCCGCTCTCTACCGACTCTCGCTTCCCCTACTTCCACCATAGCGCAAACAATGTTGCGCTTGCTGCTTTGTGCAGCTTTCTTCTTCCGATATGCCCTGGCCCTCGATCAAGTCGTTGACCTTGGCTACGCAAAGTACAATGGCTCAACTCTCAACAATGGAATAATGCGCTGGGCTGGCATGCGCTTTGCCCGCAACCCGTCTCAGAAGGAGGGTCTCCGGTTCATGGCTCCTCAAGATCCCCTTCCGGAAAACGGTATCCAGAATGCGACTGCGGTACGCCTATCTGCATGTTGGCGTGGAGGCTATACTAACAACATGGCAGTTTAAACCCCTATGTATCGGGACCAAATCTACCATCACAGCCGAAACGGGAGGAACACATTCGGAAGACTGCCTTTTCATCAACGTCTTCGCGCCTGCCAAAGCGACTAATGATAGCAAACTGCCAGTCTACATTTTTATTCAGGGTGGTGGTTTCAACCTGAACGGCAACGCGGACTACAATGGTGCAGAACTTATTAATGCGGGTGACGATGGAATTGTTGTGGTGAACTTCAACTACCGTGTCGGCCCATATGGTTTCTTGGCTGCAGAGCAGGTGGTCGCCAACAAGACGCTGAGTTTGAACAACGGCCTCCTTGATCAGCGACAAGCCTTCAAATGGGTGCAAAAGCACATCAGACAGTTTGGCGGAGACCCGGGCCATGTGACGATTGGAGGAGCAAGTGCCGGTGGAGGATCGGTCGTCTTTCACCTTACCGCGTACGGGGGCCGGAACGATAACCTCTTCCATGCTGCCGCCGCCGAGTCTGCAGCCTTCCCGACTCTGCGAAACGTCTCGGAAAGCCAGTGGCAATACGACGCCCTACTCAACCAAACTGGCTGTAGCGACCTCAACTGTATGGCCTCTATGGATGTCGTCACCTTTCAGACTGCCGTCCGAGAGCTGAGAAAACCCTTTCCCGGCGGTGTGGACCCGCCCATTTTCTTCTGGAACCCCACACTGGACTACGATTTCATCAAAGACTTTACAACAAACGAACTCAAGGCCGGCCACTATATCGATGTGCCTACCATCTTCGGTAGCACGACACATGACGGTGTCATTTTCACACCCAAGACTGTCGCGTCGCTATCACGTGCGCAAAGCTTTCTTATCGACCAATTCCCTAGCGTAAAATGGGACGCCATCAGTCAGATATGGGGTGCTAAAGCTATCAGTGCAGCGACAACCAACAATGACTGGAGAGCTCTTGCGGCTGACATGTATGGCGCCATTCGATACGCCTGCCCTGACCTGGGTATATCTGCCGCATATGCCCGCAACCAATCAGTACCGACATGGCACTACAGATGGAATGTGGGAGCAGCGTTACACGTGGCGGAACTCGGGCCTATCTGGAACAACGCTACGTCGGCCGCCGGTGTATTTGTTCAGGCTTACTGGGCATCCTTTATCCGAAGCTACGACCCCAACACGCACGCCACCGAGTTTCTTGTCGCCAAAGGTTCAGAGCTTAAGAGCCCGGAATGGGTGACATTTGCCGCCAGCAAGGGAAAGAGAATGGTGTTCAACGACGATAACAAAGTATTCATGGAGGACGTTAACCCTGTGGAGCAACAACGATGTGAGGCCGTCAACACCATGGGTATACATCTCAACCAGTAAGTTATATTCGCACTAAGCCGAGGAATGCGTATGCTGACAGAAATCCCAGACCCACCCAAGACGGCCCTCCTGCGAACAATACCCAGCCTGCTCCCCACAAATCTTCGGGAAGCCGCAACACGCCTCTTACTCTCGTATCTCTCTTGTCTTCTACAATTACGCTCGTTCTGTTACACTTTATGGTAATATGAGCATGTGTTTCCATGCAGGAATAATAGACTTTTCTAATATCGTTCGACAAATGCCTTTTGCGAAAGGCACGTCCCCCAACAATCCGCAAAGCCAACCTAATGGCTTTGCTACCGTCGACTCTCATAAAGGCCGAGGTGCAGCGTCAAAGACGACTCCAACTCGAAACTGCCGTTCTGGACACTCGGCCTGTAGGAGAGGAAGACGACGAATGACCGTGGGAATAGGGATGGGCAGGGAAGGCGGAATAGGATAGAACAGGGTTTGGTGGGAACTACACTTGAAGCCAAGACATTGGTTTGCTCAAGTATTGCTGAAGGAACGGGACGTCGAAAGCATGTAAGATGGGTTGTGATCATTACCAAGATACCCTAGTAATATAATAATCTCCAATGGCACACGACTGATGCCGTCTTGACGACCATTGTTCAAAACAAGTGCTGTGCATTCTCGGTGTTGTGTGTGCTCACTCGAGGTATTGTGCGAAAAAGTGTTTTCACAATGAAGGTAGGCGCCGAGTAAGCAATTCTCCCGTCTCACTCACTAAGCGACTGTGAGGGAATATATATGCAATCAAGATTTAGCTTGCAGTACACTTTTTTTTTGAGAAGATTGAGATATAAGAGACAATATTCTATTTTTCTCAGGTCTGGTAGTGTAGGAGGCGATTCGGCATTCTGCAGTGTTTACCTGAGTAGTTGAGAGGTCTTCGGTCGCTACTTCCTCATTCAGCTCTACCATGGCCTCACGAGCGCCTCGAAACTCGTTTAGGCATCGAAATCATCTCGCTATTCCAGCCAAGGCTAAACCCAGTGCAAACGGCAAGCAGCAAACTCTTGCCAGATCACCGCCCCGCAGGCATCGAAAACCGCCCATGCCAGGCTTCCCCATGCTTCACATAGACCGGCCAGCGCGCTACTATGCTAGCACGCTATCCGCAGACGACGTGCAAGCCCTCAGACTCGGCGAGCAGAACCACAACCTCAAGCAATGGTCCACCAAAGACTTGCTCATGCACCACGAATCCCGCAAGGACCTCATTCCCCGCATCATGCCCAAGATCGACAAGACGCTTGCGCTCGCGGGCATCGAGCACGACAAGCAGCATAGCCGGCAGGTAGTCACTACGGAAACGAGCAAGGTGCGTCGCTTCTTGGGGTTTCCGCGTATAAAGGTCTCTGCTTACTAGATGGGGGACCAGGAGGAGTATGAAGAAGCTGTTTCGATACTGCCGTCCACATCAACGCAGGACCTATTGTGTGCTTTGCCCACGCAGCCTCGCTCAGCACACATGCGCGCAGCAAGTAGCGGCGACTACTTTTCGCTTCAACCCAGTTATACTCAGCGGAAACTTGGATCGCATACGCGCCGCATCTCACCCCTCGCTTCATCCTCTTCCTGCTCGTCTTCCTCCTCATCCTCATCCGACTCGTCGTCCTTCTCAAGCCCATCTACAGCGGACTCGTCGCCCCGCGTCCGCAGCCCTCTCGCCCACGAAATCCAATTCCGACATAACCCTGCTGTTACGTTTGATTCGTTTCTCGCGCCGCACAAGTCGGGCAAGGGCGAGGCGTTTTGTGGCGCGGTGAATGCGAGGCCGGGCGGATTGCGCAGCGTCAGGAAGGTGCCTTCGATGCCGCTGTTGAGGAGGAGGGGCGAGTTTGTGTGAGGGTTGGTGTGGGTGTTGGCGTGGAGTGGTTAAGTGTTTTGCGAAGGATTTTGAAGGACTACGTAAGTAAGTCACATAGGCCCAATAATACTTCGGTTACTACAGTGCCCGTGCACCAGATGAGCACCATCGCCAGTTGAGCACCCCCACCACCACAACAACAAAACTTCAACGCGTCAAAACTCAACCAATATGGACCCGATTCAAGAAGCGATTGCAGAAATCGAATCGCGAGAACCAGGAGATAAATTCTCGTATCAAGCAATCGCGAAAAAGCAATGGTGTAGCACGAATGACGTTGATGAGACGACACCGCGGCGAAACTGAGGCCTATGGCGTGCGCAACCTCTCCCTCCATCCCACAACACGAGAAAGGAGCTTGTACGATACATCGATACGCTTACCGAACGACGTTTGCCACTACGAAGGAAATGATACAACGCTTTGCTT